ACCACACTTTAAGAAAGACATGGACACACTTTTGTGCAGTATTTGCCCAGCACTGGCCAGGAGTCAGGACTTCTGGGTTCTAATCCAGGCTCCACCACTGAGTCACTGGTTGACCTTGGGCAAGTCACTTCACCTCCCTGTGCTTCAGTGTCTCTATCTGTCTTCAATCTGGTGAAGATTCAGCAGTGAACATGGGCCCAACACTTTGAACATGCCCAAGTTGTTGGATCTGCAAGAAAGGGATCAACCAAGGAACAGCTTGGCCTGCAAGCCACCCAGGACACGAGACAGACAGTGCTCTGGCAAAGAACACTGTGGGATTGCAGAGGACAGATCCTGGAGGAGACCCAATCAGGTCATGTCAGCAAGCAGGCTACATTTGTAAGAGCATTGTGTGCAGGCAACCCCATGTACCGTTCTCTCCCAAGCCGTGAAGGGATGGTACTTTCTAGCACTATATCAGGGCTGCCCTGATCTCTTCCCCAAAAGCCTTTTGTGATTGTAACTGACTTGCACAACACTACATGCTTAAGGTTTGCTGTATTTTCCATCTGGATGTGGTGGGCAGTGAGCTTCCTGGAAGTGACTTGCAGTTGACCAAACTGGCTGACAGTAAGCGGTGATAAGCGCAGCCACAGAGAGTTGCGCTAGAGGCTGACGTTGAGGTACAAATGGCTGAGTGGAAGGAATTTAACCCCTCTGGTGAAGATGCAGAGTGAGGGGGCTGGGGTACGGCGATACAGGCCGCTGTGGATATACAAGGATCGTGCACCCATTCTCATGGTTCTGTCCTGCCTCCTGCAAGCTTAGCCTGCAGGGTGAGGTGAGGTGAGCCCTCTGTTTGCAGGGAGGAGGGGTAACCTGGCCATGTCGCGTCGCAGCATCATGGCACAGCGCGTAGTGACCTTAAGGTACAACGCTGCCTCAGTAGGTGGTGCGTGGGATCCAGTACAGGCTTTACAATAGGGCCGGGCCTACAGTCGAATGGGCAGTGTTGTGGTGAAGCTCACACTGCTGGGGTCTGGCACTGACAAGCCACTGGTGGAGTCTTGGTCCACGCTAACATGGTCAGACCAGGGAGGTGCTCACTCTGCATTGACCGGGCACTGCTGGGAGGAAGCTCACAATGCAGCATCCCAGCTGGACACTGTTGGGAGGAAGCTCCCAGGCTGGAATCCCAGGTGCTGCTGCTTGTGAGGAGGAGGCACAGAGAAGACAATGCAGCCACCAGAACAATCAAGGCACCCTCTGACTTGCTGAGTACAGCGGCTGTGCCAGACAGGCAGGCAGCCTGCGCCGTGGCTGAAGGCGCCTGGCAGGAAGCTCGGTCGTGTGCAGCCTGCTCTTTGCCCACCCTGCGCATTGACTCTGTCAATCAAGAGGCACCTGCCGGAGATTTATTTCCTTGCTCAGGGGCCTTTTTCCCCTTGGCTCATGTGGGCTGCAGACTCTCCCCCGCCCCCTCCTCCTGTACTTGAGGCTCAATGCGCACCGCTGATTGATCCTTCTCAGCAGGAAAGAATGGGCTGGCTGGGGCTGAAAGTGAACCTCCTGCTGGCATAAAAGACCCAACAGCTAGTCTGTCTCTGCAGCAACGTCTGGTTCCGGGCTAGCCTCCCGAGCCAGCTTGAGTCCAGCTAACCTGGGTAATGCTAGCGGTGAAGACAGCGCAGTGTGGGCTAGCGATTGGAGTACGTACCCAGGGTCTCCGCCAGACTGGTGTCACCCTCTCTCAGCTGCCTTCACTGAGCGAGGCGGGCTTGCTCTTGCGGTGTCAGCAGACCCTCTGTCGGGCAAAGCACAGGCAGCCCCAGTGCAGACTTCCCACACGGCCGCACACATCGGGCTTTGTCTAGGCTGGGATTCTAGCCCCCAACCTAGGTAAAGAGATGCAGGCCCAAGTGTAGACCAGGGCAGCGAGATGGCCAGGGTAAGAGACAGTCAGAACAATGACAGATCTCTGAATAGTCTGGACACAGCAACTTAAGTGTGCCTGGCTCTTAATAGAGAAGATGGTGATATAGCCCCTGCCCCCAGTCTAGGGAAAAACTAGGATCCTCACGTTCGCTACTAGTGGCAGGGCACCGCTGGGAGGAAGCTTACAGCAGAAAGGAGCAGCTACACTGCAATAGAGGAAGGAGAAGAGCGGAGAGCAGGGAGATGTCTCACTAGCAAGCAGGAGAGTGAACCAGCCCAGCCAAGAAAGGCTCTGGCCTGTAGCAACCAGCTGCAAATCGGGGGGGGGGGGGGCGGGCACAAGTCATGCATTGCACTCGTTGGTGTGCCAGCGGGGAATACCGCTTCTGATGGCGGCTCAGGGCTTTACGTTCTTCATCAAGGCTGCCGTTTAGCTCCCCGCTAAGTCTTGTGGCCAGCCTGCAGTTCGCGATCCGAGTGATGTGGCTACGGTGGAGGGATCCGACTAGCGCATGCCCCTGTTTTACACTATATTATAGATACCCCCTAGGGGGCACAGATGCAGCTGCACTGCCCAGGGACATCACCCCCACTTGGAGGCTGAGTTCGCAGGTCTCTCTGCTCCGGTTGTGGCTCCAGGCCTGCAGAGTCAGGCACCAAAGGGAGATGTGGGAGGAGAACTCTGCTAGAGAACTCAGCTGTGACATGAGAATCAACGGAGAGGGCCCTTGCCCCGGGGAGAGGAAGAAGCCCAGAGCTTCCCTCAAAGCCCAGCCCAGCTGGAGCAGAACCTAACGAATCCCAGGGTGGGTGATTCTCACAGGTCGACTTGGCAATGAGGATTCCCCGTCCTGGAACCAACGCAGTCGCACTACAGCCTCCCCAGGGAAGGGATCATCGCCGCAGCTCAGCTGTTGCACTAATGACCCTCGGTGCACTGCTGCGTAAGCGAAGAATAAATAGCAATCCTCCTCACCACTGGGACTGGGCTTGATCAGTTCACTGCACTTTGTAGACACCATTCCCCAGACCACCTCCCCTCTAGTGAGTTTTATTAGCCTCATGAGGCACAGGGAGTAGGAGGGGCTCCCCTCAGGCCGTGGAACAGCTGTCTGATTTTTCAGAGGTGGTGTTCGTTCCCCAATGCTGGAGAGCACGTGCCTGGCCACTGGTGGTGTCAGCAGTAGAACTCAGCAGTGTAAGGCCTGACCTAGCTCATGCTGCCTCTGACCTACTAGATCTTGGGTGGGGAAGAGCCGTGGGAGCGCAGCAAAATGGAACCGTGTGGGCTCGTGCATGCAGCCTGTAAGTAAGGACAGCAGGAGCTGTTCCTCCCTCTTCCACTGACTTGCTGCGCGGAAGGTCCTGTTGCTGCTTGATCTGCCTGAGTTTCTCTATCTGCAAAACGGGGCGACCTAGTTCCCAGGTTTGTGAGTCTTGGTTAATTTGTTTACCTGGCACTCTGAGGTCCTCAGCTGTGAGCTGCTGTAGGGGGAGCAGTGTATGATTCTGCAACACTGGCAGGCAGCTTCAAGGCTGGATGCTGGCTGTCGGGCATGTTGTTCTTGTCTGCCTGGGAGGGCTGCAGCCTTGTAATCTCATCTGTTCCTCCCCGAGTTTCTCGGCAGTTGTGTAATCCTCTTCCCTGTTCTGCACACAGAAGGGTCAGATGCACAGCGCACTTAGCAATTAGCGGTGTCTGGGAAGAAGAGCAATAACCTGGCTGCTTTGGAGTCAGTGACAAACCACTCTCATCTGCTGCCCTCCTGCATCAAATATTCCCAACCCCTCCCTTCCACCACGTCCTGTAAGGGCATCAGGATCCTCCCTGCCCTTCCTGTGTCTCTCTGCCTTGCTTCTCTAGCTCTCTTCTTGTTTATGGCTGAGCCAGAAGTGGGAGGCATCAGCTGGCAGACACCAGTGTGCGGGTGGTAGTGAGAGTGGCTATTGGTGTGGTAGGTAGAGGGAGATTTGAGCCCCTGCATTCGGATCTGGATTCCCCCCACCCCCATCTGGGGGTGGCTAGATCTGGGGGTTTGGCCTGTGCTAGACACCAGCTGCCTGCAAAATGTTGTGGATCTGGAGGGGGGCTGGATTCTGAGAGCCCTCAACGCCCAGGGCAGCCAACTGCAGGGGTCTGGCTCAGGCCCCTCTGTGCTGGAGGCTGAGCCACGCCAGCATGATCAGTGCCAGGAGACGGGCACGGCCCACCCGCGCTACGCAAAAGTGGAGACGTGGCTGGTTCTCCTCAGGCCTCTAGCTCCCAGTGGACACAGCTGAGTTAAGCCCCCAGCAGCTCAAATGCTTTTATCTGACCTGAATTAACCCCTGCCCCACCCCTAACATGAATTGCTCCATGGTACAGTGTCTTTACATGCTGCACACCCCACACAGGGCCCCTGCTCATGGTTGTATTAGCTCCCCTCTGTAGCAGAGACTCTGTTTCAATGTCCTTTGGGGCTCTGGTACAATGCAGCAGGGCACAGAAAGGCAGGACTAGAAGCCAGGAGCCCCAATTTCCGGACCCCTGCTCTGCCCCCACCTGGCCGGGCTCTCCTTGACTTGGGGAAAGCCATTTATTTTTCTTCTTGTGGGCCAGATACTTGTCTTATCATGTCACATGAGTAGGGGCTGGTAAATGCTCAGGACAGTTGTGAGAAGCTGCTCCAATGTGCACAGTGTCTGCAGTTTCACTTGCTACGAGGAAGCTGACGAGAGCTTTCCAGCCTTGTGCTGGTGGACGAGTGAGGGTAAGAAGTGGTTCCACCCCCCCAGTGCAGCATGGCACAAGTGGATGTGCATCGGGCATTTGGGCCTCCTTCTGAAAGGCACCGAGTACCAGACTTGATGGTCCATCCGTCAGGTGTGGTGTTACTGATTACTGCACATGGTGACGGTCTCTTTGATCTGGGGGGTGTCTCCGCAGTTGGGTTTACCGTGTGGCAAAAGTAACTAGCTGAGAGGCGTAGATCAGTGTGTGTACTTCCTATTCCTCAGTGGGGCAAGGTGGCTGGTAATCAGACAACGACCCTGCTGGATTCATGGACACTCCTGCTGAGTCTCTTCTTTGCTGTGTTTTCTAGGGGAGAGACGCTTTCTGCTGGACAAGCATGAGACTCTCACAACTCTCTACCATGAGGAGGGGAATTCCTCTCTCTTGGTGGGAGCAGAGGGAAAGCTCTACTACTTCGACTTTGAGAGCTCCAGTAACCACGCGGTAAGGAGGCTTTATAGATGTGCATGGCTTAGCCTCCCAAGCTCACTGTGAAGTCATTCAGCCGCATTCTCCCCATTGCACAGCTAGGGAAACAGAGGCACAGGGCAGCTTAGTGACTTGCCCAGCCTCCTCCAGCAAGTCAGGGGCAAAGCTGGGAAGAGAAGGCCAGTGTCTCAACAACCAGCCCCGTGTTTTAATCCCTCTGGATAACGACCCTGCACAATCTATCCAGGGAGCTGACCAGCCAGAGTTGGACCTCAGCATTAGTGATTCTGATGTCACATAGACTAGCCAGTGAGATCACTGATGATGGAGGCCAGTGTGGTTTGGGCTCTGAATTATACCATGGACTGGGCAGTGGAAGCATGGGTGATGTTGTCTCCATGCCCTTCCACTCCCCCCAGGCAACTTAACCCCTTAGGGATAAGGCACAGACACCACCCCTCTTGCTGTCATACAAATGGACAGTCTGGTTAACCCTCTGAAAACCCCAGTCCCTCTTAACACTCCCTCCTCCACCCAGCCACTGATGCCTACTCACTTCCCCCAGCAAGAGACCTGAGCCCTTCCTGACAGCCCTCTGACAGCATCCTGACCTGAACCCACTACTAGTTCCCCCAGCTGTGCCCTCTGCCCACCTGCGGCCCCTCTTCCACCTCCATTTATCCCAAACTCCCAGACATGGCCCTGAACCGGCCCAGCCTCCCAAGTGCTCCCAACCCGTAGCTTCCACATGGGAACCATCTGGAAAGTGCCGACTATCTGTGTTGACCCAGCCATGCAGCCACCCACATCTTCCTGGCCAGTTGAGCCCGTGGGTGGCGCATGGGTTCACCGAACTTTGCCGGCATTCATCATTCACTTCCAGACAGTTGTTCAGCAAGGGCAGGAACTAACCCACGCTTATTCCTTTTCTCTAGGAGGATTTCCCTGCACATGATACAGAAGCCTGCCAAAAACCAGTAAGTCTGTAAGTCTGGAGATCTCACCAGGTGGATTTAGCTCTCTGAGAAATATCAGGAGTTTTCCAGATAGTCCAGAGGAGCCCTCTGCTTTGTTAGCGCACCTTTTCCATTCAGCGGTAGGACTCCTAAGCCACCCAGCGTAAAAGGAACCTTGATGAGCACTTAGAGGGGTGGAGGATGTAGGCTTAAGTCAGGGGGAACATGAGTCAGAAGAATTGAGGGTCAGGGGTGGGGTGGGAAGTTCTGGCGGGACGGGGGCGAACAGGAGATATGGAGTCACCAAATTCCATTAATATGGGGAATGTATAATTAGGAGATTGAGTCAGTTCTGTGCTACGGGGTGGGGGTGGCTGAGAGTCCCACACTGGAGCTCTGGAGGGTGTTCCGATCCTGCAGTCCCCTCCCCAAGTAAAATTCTCTGGCCTGTGTTGTGCCAGGAGGACAGCCTAGATGATCACAATGGGGAACGGTCCCTCCTGGCTTTAATACCCAGAAAAATCCTGGTGTCTCCTCCAGCTTAGTGGTACTACCAGGGCTCCTAAGGTTGGGCCTGGAGCAGCTGGGATTCACTAAACTGTCTACCGTGGCTCATGCACCCCTTTTTCTTTTCCAGGAGGAGAAGAAGAACTACCTGACTTTCATTGGCAAGTACAACGACATGCTGTTGTTATGTGGGACAAATGCCTGCAAGCCCACCTGCTGGAACTTGGTAAGCCAGGGAGTTTGTCACCTGTAGGTGAGCAGGTCTAGAACCTGGATCACCTGATGCTTAGTCCAGTGTCTTCTCCATCGGACCTGTGGTTCTGTCCCCACTTACCTGCACTATGACCAGAGTAAATTGCTCTGCCTGTCTGTACCTCAGTTTCCCCATCTGTCAAATGCAGATGATGATGATCACACTCCCCTTCCTTTGCAAAGTGCTTTGAAGCCTATGTGGGGAAAGCCTATGTGGAAGCTGAGTTTAATAGTCCATGACCGAACCCACTCTCTGCTCCCGCCTGGGAAATCTGATCCGTGGCAGAGGACAGGAAGGATCACTTATCTCTAGTGAGTAACAGCAAAGGGGAATGCAGGAAAACACCAGCCAAGCCAATGCACTTGTCTGTAAATGTTCCTCCAGGTTAGCTTTGATGCCAGAGTTCTTCTTGGAACACTTGACCTGACCCCTCCCCCCACAGCCTTAACTCAGAGGAAACACCTTTCCTGAGCTTCCTGGTGCACCAACCCAATCTAGCTCTGCATGGGACCCCCTGCAGCCAAAGCACATGCCAGGCCCAAATACTGGGGGGCAGGTAATCTCCTCTTGCTCCAGAAGGGACTTGGAGCCAATGTTGATTGCATTACCCTGCTGGGAGAATACAACAAGGTGCCAGAACCCCTCCTACCAACAGTGACTCTTAATTGTTCCCTCTGCCCTCCCCAGGCCGATCGGAATAAAGTTGGAGAGGCCGCCCAGGGCTTGGCCCCTTTTGTGCCTAACCAGAACTCCCTGGTCCTTGTTGATGGTAAGTCCGAATGCTTGTGTCTGTTCTTCGGCCCGTAGCACCGCAGGGCCAGGGCCCCAGCTGGTGTAACACTGAAGTCAGTAGAGCCACGCTGATTTCCACCAGTTGGGCGGCTGGCCCAGAGTCTTTAGCTTTGCCTTGTTTATGTGCTCGTGCTCGTTGGGGAGGGGCTTTGGGGGAATGGTGCCGTCTCCATGCCATGTCATCGCTGGTCTGTAAATCGGCCTGGTGCTGGTCAGAGGACAGGCCTTAGATCTCCGTGCTGGGGAGAAGCTCAAGGTGGAATGAGCATGAAGTGGGCACTGCTCTCCAGCCAGGAACAGGGTGATGTCGTGGGCCCCCAGTGCAGGGTCAGTCCCATTAATTCTAGCATCAGAGCTGCTGAGGAAGCCTCAGGAGAGGGTGAGCCACCTCCGGGCTGGGCTAGAGCCTATCTCTGGAGCAGTGTGAGGAAGGAGCCTGGGACTGTCCTGCCAAAGCTGGCCAGAGTCCATGGTGATGGGTAGTAACCCTGCAAACCCTCCCCTATCACTCTTGCCCAGTGCCCAAGCTGCTGGGCAGTCTGGCATTGCCAACACCTCATCCACTTGCCCAAAGAAGGGAGGCTGGTGGGTTCTCTTGCCCTCTCGCAGGGGACCTGGCCCCATCCTCCTCACCCAGGCAGGCACACAGAGGCTCAGCCCTTGTGATGGGCTTCCAGGCGCCACATTTCGTTCTGCCTATCTTGGGGGCCCTTGGTTTTCTCCCATCCCCAACACTACCCCTTGCCACCGAGCCCTATGCCCAGGGGAGAAGGCAGTGGAGTGGGGAGTTCATCCCCATGCCCCGTCCAAGGCTGCTGTGAATGCCGTTCTCCCCTGAAACCCTCCGCTCTTCTTCTGCCCCGGGAAACCAGAGCTGCTTCCATGGCTCTGTTGAATAGCTAAGGGGTGATGCTGCTGATTCTGGCCCCCAGGGGACGAGTGCCTGTATCCAAAGCCAGCCCCCCACTCCCACCCCAACTGGCAGGGCTTGGCCCAGCCCAGAAGCCACGGCGTGAGTGGGCCTTGGAGAATGAGCTCTTTGCTAGACCAGGGCTGACACAGGCTAAGCTGGCATCACCATGACCCAGGCCAGGCCCGCTCAGCGGGTCTGAGGGGGCTCCGCCCTCCAGGGTCATCAGCCCAGCTCCTTTCACCTGTGCTAGATCCCTTGAGGGGAAAAATACTCCCTAGGCAAGTCCTGGCAGAACTAAAAACCAGTCGGCTGCAAACGATCCTTCCCATCTTGCAGGCAAAGACATCTATTCCACCATCGGCTTGCACCAGCACAATGGGAAAATACCCCGCTTCCGCCAGGTCCGAGGGACTGGGGAGCTCTACACCAGCGACACAGTGATGCAGAGTGAGTATGGCAGAGCGCCCATGAGGCTGGGGCTGCCTGCCAGGCTAATCCCAGCAGGAGGATGATCTTGGGACGTAAGGGTGTTTTCACCTTGTTCTCTTTCCACAAGCTGTCCTGCATCCTCAGCCCCCTGCTGTAGTCCTATCTGCTGCTCTGGGATTGCACAGAGTCAGTACGTGGCTTGGGGACAAGTCCTCCAGCGCAGCAGCAGCATGCCGGGGGTGGGAGTATGGCAGGCAAGGCAGTCTCCTTAGGTAGCCGTGGGGAGGCTGCCGTACACTGGAGCAGAGGAAATCAAAGCATTTACTGGCCTGCTCTTTGCAGCACTGAACAATAAGGCGTTCCTGGAGTGATAAACAACTTCCACCTGTTATTTGGCCCCAGCCATTGCTAGCAACTCCCAGGACCTCTGCTTTAGCTGCACTGGGGAAGTTGTCCCGGTAATGATGGGGACTAAATGCCAGTGCTGTGCAAAATGCTCTAGGTAGTGGCTGCAGAGGAACCGTTCCTCCAGCATGAGGTTGGGGGAAACCGAAGTAGCTGTGTAAAAAGAACTGGAAAAACGGACGTAGCGTCCCGTGTTTGAAGCCGGAAGGAAATGCAGCTGTTTAATTGGCCCGCCAGCTGCAATCACTGCCTGTTGGTGGCAACCGAGCAGAGCGCTTCAGTTGCCCATCTGGCCACAAATGGACACCTGGTGGAGCCCAAAGGCTGCTCCTCTTATCGCCGGGGCCTGGTAATGAATCCAAATCTGGAAAGCATCGTTCCTCCCTCCGCCCACCCCCCGGTGGATTGGCAGAGGGAAGAGTCAGGGGTTTCCACCTGGCTAGGGGATTTTATCCACCTCACAGATGAGGGCCAAAAATGGCAGCAGGTCAAGCGCAAACACGGAGCCTGCAGAAGCAAACAAAGCAGATGCTCCCAGGGCATCACGTAATCAGGCTGTTCCGTGCCGGGGGACACGAAGTAATGAGCCTCCGCGCTCCCCTCCAACTGACTTCATGGAGCCAGGGAGGTGTATTAATAGGGCTCTTGCATCGTTACCGGACTTCCCTGGTTAAACACAAACAACTGCAAAGCCCGCAGGGCCTCCTTTCCATGCCGTGGCATTTCCCCTACGCACTCAGTTGTCTCCATGAAACGGGTTTCCTTCCATGCACACCAGCCTGGGAACTCGACTGAGCTGGACTCCAAAGCCTTGACATTTCAAGGAAGCTGCAAAAGGCAAGATCCAGAGCCTTAAACCAGGGGTAAGCCACGGATGAGTGTGTCGGGATGGTCTCTCTTTGTGTCTGATCTATAGAGGATCTGAGTCGGTTTCAGTTCCTGGCTTTGTAGCATGGCTCTTCAGATGCAGAAGTTCACTTGATGGTTCAATGGTTCAGGAACCTAGAGGTTCAATCCCTGGTGGTTGTTGTCACAGGTGCCCTTCTATTAGGAGAGATTTTTAGGACATGTCTGCTTGTCTGTCCCATTCTCATGGCTCTTCCTCCTCCATTCCAGACCCGAAGTTTGTGAAAGCCACTGTCATCAAGCAAGATGAGCGCCATGATGACAAGATCTACTATTTCTTTCAAGAAGACAATCTGGACAAGAGTCCCGAGGCCCCGTTAAATGTCTCCAGAGTGGCCCAGCTGTGCAAGGTACAGAGCAGGCAGAGTGGGACAGGCCGGGCGGGTTAAAAAGCCAATGGCATTGCCTCCATGAGTTTCCCCTGCTTCTGGGAGCTGGTGCGGCCGCATGGTGAGGAGGTTGCTCTGGGCATTACAAAGCAGTGCTGGAGGTGGAGAGAGAACCCAGCTGCCGTAGGTCATTTTTTGCACCCCCTGATTTCTGACCTGCCTAGAAGTGAAGTGCTGGAAGGGAGCAAGCTGAAAGGATGGTTTAGTGGTCCAAGGTGCAAACCAGGGATCAGGATGTGGCTCTGCCACAGACTTCCTGCGTGACCTTGGGCAGGTCCCTCAGTCTCTCAGTGCCTTCGTTTTCCCCCTCTGCCCTACCCTACGGGGGTATTGTGAGGATAAACACGTTAAAGATAGTGAAGTGCTCACATGCTGCGGTGATGGGAGGCCATGTAAGTACGATAGATAGATAATGGAGAGCCATTCAAGGGGCTGGGAGTGTCCCAGAGATTCCCTCCTGCATCCCCCTCCTCTGGGATGGGCTCTGAGGCCCTGCTGTGTCTCCCAGGGTGACAAAGGGGGCACCAGCTCCCTCTCTGCTTCCAAGTGGACAACTTTCCTGAAGGCCACACTGGTCTGTGTCAACCCGGCCACCAAGGGCAACTTCGACTTGCTGCAAGATGTCTTCATTGTCCCGTCAGACAAGAACTGGAGGGAAACCAGAGTGTATGGACTCTTCTCCAACTCCTGGTGAGTATCTTGGCCCACACAGGCCACAGCCTCAGAGCCGAGGGTAGGGGTGTTCAAAGGCACCTCAGGAGCTGGCCGCTAGATAGCTGGTCCACTCACCCCAGCTCCCTCATAGCTGAGAGGGAAAGGCATGAAACTGAAAGCAAGTGCTCCTCTGCTACTGTTTGCCACCCGTGGCTTTGTTGCTCATGCCATCAGAGAAGACCGCTTGTGGGCCCAACCCTGGGAGGAGCTGAGCACCTTCATCCCCATCAAGGCCCCAGTCCCTTGCAGGACTGGGGCCCTGTGATGGGGTATACCAGGCATTCACTGCCCCCTGTTGGTGACCCCAACACCTTGGTGCACTCCACCTTCAGCAGGTGCCCTGCTGGGAGGGAAGAGCAGCAAGTTTGGACAGCTAGGGGCTGCCTAGAGAGGCCTCCCGTGATCAGCTGCAGGCAGAACCAGTGAGAGCTGGTCCACTGGTGCCTAGAAGGGGTGGGAGCAGGCAAAGGCCAATCAGGGCCCAGCAAGCCAGATAAAAAGGGCGGGCTGACTTTCCCCTACTAGGGCCAGTTCTTGGGGAAGCCAGGACGGTCTCCATGTCTTAACCTAACCCAAGTAACTTGGCCCACTCCAGGTCTTAATCTTGACAGTCTTCCCCTTCGCTCCCTGTAGTATTTATGTTACAGGCTATTTTGTTTTCTGTAATCCTGGGGTGAGCCCTCTCCGTGGGATGTCTAGCCCTTGGGTGTCTGCTGCTCCCTTCCATCCTGTCTGTTTCCCACCAGTCTTCGCTGTCTGTTTCTCTTGCTTTCTCCCAGTGTGAGTCAAGACTTTCAGGGGCCCATCTTCCCAGCGTTGCAGAGATGGGGAGGCCAAGTGTCAGCTCTGTGACAAACTATTAGCTCCAGGGACAACATGCTCCCATATGGCGCTTCCTCCAGCCATCCCTGCTCAGGGAAACTTGCTTTGCACTCTCCCCTTGCTGTTTCTCATTATGGTGCTTAATGCTGCTGATTTGAGACACCACTGAGAAATGCCCAGGACACTGAACTGAGAGAGAGAGAGAGAGAGAGTGATTGATTGAAGTATTATGGGGGTGGCCACAGGCTCTTCTCAGAGATCAGGGTCCCACTGGGCTAGGTGCTGAGCAAACACTTCTTAAAAAGCTAGTTTCTCTGTGAGGTCTCTCCCTGGCGATGCTCACGTTTGCATCTTCTGAAATTGGCGCCACTCTCCCAGTTTTTATGAGCACGCAAGGCAATTAAAGCCTTTATTTTCCCCGCCCGCTGGTCTGTCAGGAGATGCTGTTGTATTGACAGCAGTGTCATTGGACGCTGAGATAGCGGCATGCTGAGAAGATGCCAGTGGTGTGGCATTTGCTGCCACATCACAATGTGATCCTATTGTGTAACGGGGCCAGCTGCCACCCAAGTGCCCCTTCGGGCTAAGGGCCCTGCCCTTTTTTCCCCCTTCACCAGGGCTCCTTCAACAAACTCCACAGTGTCTTTCAGTCACAGCCCTTCCAAGGGTCTGGGTTTTTATTAAATTAACAGAGTTCTCAAACACAATCGTCCACCCAGGCTTAAGCTGGGCTCAGCCCCTCCTTCCTGAGGACATGTCCTGTCCTGGGGGGACCATTGCAGGAGACCACCTTTCCCTGCAGCTTCACTCTGCAGCTCTCCCCCTATAGGAGCCCCGACCTTCCTCCTCCTCCTCGATGCAAACTCACTTGCTTTGCTGCTGACTTCCCATGTGATCTTGGGCAAGTTGCTTAGTTTCTCTATGCCTCAGTTTCCCATCTGTACGATGGGGATAACAGCACTGCCCTGCCTCCCAGGGTGGTTGAGGATAAATCCATAAAACACTGTGAGGCTCCAGGAATAGTGCCATAGAAGTACCTAAGATAGACAATCTTTCCTTGGGGAATAGAGAGCCTTCAGCATCTCTCTACTAAGCACAGCCCTGGTGCCCTTGCTGTTAATTTCAGTGGGTCACGGTTTCAGGTTTAGGATGCTGGCATCTATTTCAAAATGACTCTGGTGTCCTGGCTAATATGGCCTCACCCATATGGCTACTATTCCACTGTCACATGGCTTGGACCTGCTGCTTCATCCCTCCATTCTCATTGGCTGAGACGTGTCTGGGATATAGTTAGAATTGTCCCTATCCATGGTTATGTAATAAACCTTCCCTCCCCCCCCCACCAGCTTGGGAGAAACAATGGCTAAGAATTTGAGCAGTAGCAGAATGGCGGCCAGGCCCTGATCCTCTGTTTGTTTTGTTGCTTGTAGGGGGTACTCTGCCGTTTGTGTCTACACCATCGGTGACATTGACACTGTGTTCCGGACATCGAAACTCAAAGGCTACACTAAGGACATGCCCCACATCCGTCCTGGACAGGTGAGTGACAGCTGGCCTTCTGGGTGGGTGGTCTGATGCTTAAAGCACCGGGAGGTGGAAGATCTGATTTGTATTCCCAGCTCTTCCTCTAACCTCCTGAGTGACCTTGGGCAAGTCCCCTCATCTCTCTGTACTGCTTCTGCTTCTCCCCCTGTAAAATGGGGGATACTGATTAGTTCTGGGGACCAGGAGTCCATGATGCTAGGTGCTGTACCAGGGGTGCTGGGAACAGGGAGGGCCAGGGGGCCATGCCCCCCCACTTTTAAAAGTAGGAGGGCTATGCACTCCCACTTCTAACGTAAGGGCGAGCAACAGGAGGAGGGGGCAGAGAGGAGTGAGCAGGAGTTGGGACCTCGTGGGGGGGATGGACAGTGAAGGGGCAGGGCCTCAGGGGGGCACTTGGGTACCTGTGGGGCCCCTCACACACTTTTAGGGCGCTTCTGCCAAGATGGTCCCTGCCCCAATGAGTTTACAATCTAAGTTCCTGGCCAGGTGACAGTGGCACATTTCAGTCCTTAATGTATATAATGGGACTCTGAGCTCCTCAGATGGGATGAGCTAGAGAAGGGGGAACTTATTGGGGGCTGATCCCTTGATGTCAATGCTGTTAGACAGTGGGGACCTTGAAGACACAAGGCAAGTGATTGATGAGAGGGAGAAGGGTTTCTGTGGCCCAGATCCTCAGAGGCACTTAAGTACCCAACTCCCATTTACCGTTGAGGATCTGGGCTTTAAACCTGTTTTCTGAGGGCAAAGCGTCACTCTGCCTTAGTGACTCAGATGAATTACCCATGTGGGGCCAAGGGCACAGGCTGGGTGATAACTGGGCCATCGGCTGAGAAGCACCAGTCTGTTGCCCAGCGCACAGGGAAGCTGCACCTGTCACTGCTGCAGAGGTTCCTTGTGCGTTGGGGCCAGATCTATAACAGGGCTGGATAAGACTATGACCACTGCATGAGAAGATAGGGGTGATGGGCTCTCTTGTGCCTCAGGCTGTGAGCGTGTCCCCATGTGGGTCGGGGGGGACATTGGGTGTGTGTGACACATCTCTGGAGCATTTGGGATTGCAGCTGCTGCAGAAACCACATTCCCTCTCCCCAACTAGCTAATGCCTCCCTGGTAGGAACCAGGGACGGCCTCTGAAATATGGGCTGCTTGTGCCTCTTGGAGACCAAGCTTCTAGCCCAGGGGGTGGCATGGTGGTTTAAGCCCCTTCTGCACCCTCCTGTGTCTGGGCTGTGCCAGGGGCCAAAATGGCACAAGTTAGGTAGCCCACCCTGAGCGGGCTGCGGTGCTGCCTAGAATTGCCTTAGCGCTTTGTGCTATGGCCCCACTTCCTCCAGAGCCTGCCTCCCAGGCATGCCCCCAGGACCAGGCATCGAGGGTGGCCTGTGGCTGCTTTACACCACAGCTGTGCTGGGGGAATTCTCCCTGGGGCTTTTCTGCTGACACAGCAGAGCAAAGGTGCCTGAGCACACCCCTGGTAGCTAGCTTCCTTGTCCCAGGGTTCCCTTGGGGAAATAGCAGGGGAGATGGCTCACCCATGTCTTTGTCTCCCTGTGGATCTGGATGGCCCTGATAATGTGGTGGTGTTTTTTTTCTCTTGGCTCAGTGCCCTTGGGGCAGAAATCATACCCCTCCCGAGACTTTCAAAATAGCTGACCTCCACCCGGCAGTGGAGGAAAAGGTGCAGCCTGTTGCCCCAAGGAATAGTCCCCTATTCCACAACAAGAATCGCTACCAGAAAATCGGGGTGCATCGCATCCAGGCAAGGGACGGACACACCTACAACGTCCTCTATTTGGTGACAGGTACGGACTGTTTTTCTCCACCTTTTACCCTCAGAACCCAGGCAGGGCAGCCCCTTCCGGAGCACTGGACTGGAACTAATCCATGGCCACCTAGGGACTCTGTGTTTGTCCCTATACTACACCCCATGGCCACTGGGAAATTTCCAATGACTGCAGGGATAGAACGCATAGCAGTCTGCTCCTAAAGCATTAAAGGAGAATCTCTATGAGCTGTTAGCAGTGTAGGGCTTATGACACACAGGTAAACAGTTCCAATTCCATCCTGTAGATGGAAGTGGTATGGGAGTACACACACACATATCCCTACCTCTAGCCAGTTCATTACTGCACACCCTGAGATAGAAGGCCCTGTGCTGGAAGCATCTGTATTTTTTAGTCTGTCGTGACTAAGTGCAGTGCCTTGGGTTTTACTTGTTGAAATGGGGCCCTTTACTAAATAGCAATCACGTGCCACATGTTCAGCGTGTGTAAATGGATGTAGCGCCGTTTGACTCCTTCCATCATTTGGCTTCAGTAGAACTAGACTCACTTTATATGACCTGAAGCTTTGGCCCCAGTGGAGGCTCGCTTAGTGCAGGCTGGAAAAGTGGGGTGTGCGTGAGAGTGAGTGACCTTTGAGAGCTGTGCCATATATTTAATACCCACTGCTCTGCGGCTCTGGTAGCTGTGACATTGCTTTGTGGTAGGTGCTGATTTGTCAAAGGGCAGCCAGGGCTGAGCCCCGGTGCCCCTCGACTTGGCAGTTCATAGCCCTGGCACCTCTTTCATTACAAATGAAGCACTGCAAATCCCCATGTTCGGTTCTGGGGAAGCTGGTATTGGCTAGCAGGCATATAACCTTCCTGCTTGTCTGGGGCTTTCAATACAGAGCTAGGGTTAGGCAGACAGGCTGAGGGTGACATAAGAACCTTTTCCCCAAGCAAAGGCCCAGAACCAAACACCCTCCCATCCCCCCCGCTTTGCACACTGGGGCTGTGCAAAACCAAACTCAGCACATGCCCTGAGCCTTTTCAATGGGTTTGGAAGCAGCGGGACCAAAATCCTTTGTTGGAGGCTCGTACTCCTGTGCAGGAAGGACTGGAGACCTCTCGAGGTCTGCTGCAAATCCACCAGGTTCAGCCAACAATGCAAACTTTCTGCTGAGGTGCAGCAGCTCAGAATACCCATCGTGTGTATGTGTGTGTGTGTGTGTGTCCAAGTGCTGACCTGCCTTCCCCCCACTGAGCCACTTCTGGGCTCCTGCCCTCTAGTTGCTGTCACAATCTGGTCTGCTTCCTCCCTGGGCAGGGCATGGCAGGGGGGAGAGGTGGGCCCTTCTCAGAAGCCAGCAGAGGTTCCCAGCATGGAGCAGGGAAGGTGCCCTGATCAGATCCACGTTGGCATACATGGCTGGATCTTTGCCCGCCACAGACCTGACTTTCTGACCTGGCCGACGCCCTGAGCTGAATGCAGAGAACAATGTCAGACTCCCAATTCCCTATTAGAGGGGTTTGCTGCAAACTGTTGTACTTGATAGATCAGCGCCCAGCATGGGAGGAAGGATGGTGCCTAGCTACTTTGGAAATCTGGGCCTTAGTCTCTCTGTGCCTTGGTTCCACAACTGTACAATGGGGATAATAGCAGAGCCCTGCCTCGTGCGGTGCAGTGAGGATAAATACCTAAAGGATTGTGAGGCGCTCAGATACTTGTGCAGCCCCCAATATCACAGTACCTAAGCTAGGTGAATAGATAGAATGGCCGTGTGATTCCGCCTCATCGTGCGCTCAGGACTGAGCTGTCCCCTCCCCATGCTTCTAGCATCATGGCCTCTCCTGAGCCCTCTGCAGCAACACCCGCTCTTTCTAGTCTCAATGCTCAAGGTTTTCTTTAAAGCCCCAGCTCCTGGAGTCAGGTGATCGTTGTTTTAAAAAGAAAAGCTGAAATTTGCATGTAAAGTTTCTAGCCCTCCTGGTTGCAGAGAAGAGCTCGAAAGTGGGACCCAGCAGTAGGAGGCCCATTGAAGAACCCACAGTTTTGTCTGTTTATTTTCAGGGCTCCCCTGATGCCTAATTTTATTTTATTTTATTTTTTTAAATGGCGGTGTTGGCAATGGTCTTGTGCTCTCCTCCCCACCCCCAACCCCTCTATCCCTGCCTAGGAGCATCCATGGGCTTGGGGATGAGGACAAGAGACAGAACCAGGGCCGGAAGATCATTAGCTTTGGAGGTGGTGCTCCCTTCACAGAACCCCCCCCCGCACCCCCTAGTGGCACAGCGACCCCATAGATCCTGGGATTCCTCCCTCTGGCAACAGAGCCCTCCCAGGCGGGCTGGTTGCTGGCAACGTTTGGGAGCGCTGCCCGGCCCCACTGTGCCCTGGGATGGCCCAGTGCACCACTGTCAGTTTCAGTGGGCTGTACTCTCCAGGGTCAACCAGGTGCTGTAGGGGCAGGATCAGAGGGCGTGCAACCCTCTGGCCACCTGTGACATAGGACAAGGAGGTCTGCATCCAAACAGAACAGGACAGGAGAATATGTACTCCTCCTTTTCCCCCAACCTGATGTGATTCATGAGCAGGAGGAAGAGAGGCCAGACTTGTGGTCTAGTCAAATGCCCCAAGATGGGGAAAGATCTGGGTTGAGTTTATTTTCCCTTCTGTGGTGTTAAAGGGACAGTCACACCTTCCTGCTCTTCGCAGCAGGGCCTCCTCTCCCAGTCTGTGAGAGGTGGCAATAGGGAACCAGCTCTTGGGGGCTGCAGGGTATGGAGCTGAGAGCACTCGGTGACAGGCCCAGCCTTTGTTGGCCATTTCCCATGGTGCTTATTGCTCTGCCGAGCCCTTTCCAAAAAGGCCCCCATTGTTTTGCCATCCGTAGCAGCAGCGGTCAGGGCCCTGGAATCAGCCCCTTGCTGGAAGCTTCAATGGGCTGCTGGTTCCTGTGACTAATTCATGCCAAGTTTTGCAAAGAGGGCATTGTCTTCCCATGCAGCTTGAGACGCTGCAGAAAAGGCAGGTTCTGCTTTTAGACCTAGGGCTGTTGATCTTGACCCTGCTTTTTCTCTCCCCTGTTCTCTGCATAGCCCTGGCACCATCCTCCTGTGCTTCCAAGTCTCCCTGCTTTGTGGGCTGACCTTTGCTCTCCTATCTCTTGCAGACAAAGGGTATATCCACAAAATAGTGGAGATGCCGCACGGCGTCCTGAACATCCTGGAGATCCAGCCCTTTCAACAGCCAGCTCCCATCCTGGCCATGACCCTGGATCATAGAAGGGTGAGTTCCTTCCTCCGTCGCTCTGCGTGGCCTCATCCCACCTGCAGTGACACAAGCAGCAGAATCTGGGCACCAGACTTAGAAACAGTCTGCTTTTCCTATCAGGGCTCAGGATGTCTGTATGTTGGAGCTGCCTCCAGCTTCCCATAGGATTGAAGGACATTTCTCTAAGTCAGGGGTTCTCAAACTTTTTTTTGCTGGGACACCCCCTCCCCCCTCCAAAAAAAAGTGACGAGGCACTCCCATACCATGCCACCATTCCTTCTATGCTGCTGCTGGTGGGGGCTCTGCCTTCAGAGCTGGGTGCTTGGCCAGCAGCCACCGCTCTCTGGCCGCCCAGCTCCAAAGGCAGTGCAGAAGTAAGAGTGGCACTACTGTGACCCCCTTTTGGGTCGAGACCCCCATTTGAGAAACGCTGCCCCAAGTCCTACCTAGAGTCCTGATGCCACCTGCTAATTGTGGGCAAATCACTCACACTACCAAGGGTCAGGTGCTAGCCGTAAAGGAAGGGAGAGAGACTCTTTAAAATACCTGATCTCCAGATGTAACGTTCCCTGGAATTGCTCCTCGTTGGGCAAAGACTGCCTCCCAGTGTCATAGAGTCCCCGAGCGATGCTCTGGAACTGCTCCCTACGAAGTCCGTCAGGACTCTGGGGAAGTCTCCTTTCTGTGAGCAGACTGTCTGCAGGGCAAAAAGCTCACACGGCTTCCCCCTTCCTGACCTCGGAGCATTCAGCATCCTGTGCCCCTCCGTGTGCTTCTCACAGCCAATCTGCCCAGGCGGGGTCTTGGGGAAGCTAGAGGGTCCTGCATGCACCCCAACTTCGCAGTCAGATGTGACTCTCAGCCAGCCAGTAAAACAGAAGGTTTATTAGACGACAGGAACATGGTCTAAAACAGAGCTTGTAGGTGCAGAGAACAGGACCCCTCAGCTGTGTCCATTTTTGGGGGGACAGTGAGCCAGACAACCACGTCTGCACTTCACTCCATGTCCCCAGCCAGCCCCAAACTGAAACTCTCTCCAGCCCCTCCTCCTCTGGGCTTTGTCCCTTTCCCGGGCCAGGAGGTCACCTGATTCCTTTGTTCTCCAACCCTTTAGCTCTCACCTTTCAGGGGGGAAGGGCCAGGCCATCAGTTGCCAGGAACAGGGTGTCGGCCATTCTCTGTGTCCAGACCCCTGCACACACCTGCCTTCTAGGGCTCTGCAATGATCATACACCCTTATCCCACCACCTAGATACTTAAGAACTGCATAGGGGAAACTGAGGCACCCCCACAATATTCAGAGGAAACATTAAGAACAGTCCTGCTTCGTCACACCCAGACACCAGATCAAGCCCCTGAGCACTGGGGATCCCAAGCCACTTTCTGGAAGAACAGGGATGTTAATCCCAGGGCCCAGTTTCCAAATCCCAACCTGGGTAACTTCAATTTCAGCTTCCTCTTGCAGTTCTGGTGGGATGCTACATTCTTCTTCACTTTCCTGGTTGTTGTGTAGCATCGCCATACTGTCTGCTGTTACACAGCTGCGGCGTTCCACCCCAGAGATGGCTGCATTGCAATGGTAGTGATCCTTGGTTATGTACGTATTAGCCCACCGAGAGCGTTGGGAGCCCTTGGAATGAAGAGCACTCTGTAAATAGAGGGGGTTCGGGAAAGGCGCCTGGTGTGAGGAACTGCTGCCGGAGTGATAGCTCTGCTTTGTTTTCCCCGTGCAGGCAAAGCTCTATGTGAGCTCGCCGAGCGAGGTGGTCCAGTTGCCCATGGACATGTGCGAGGTATATCACAGGAGCTGCGAGAGCTGCGTCATGGCAAAGGATCCCTACTGCGGCTGGGCAGATGGGAAATGCGTCTCCGTTAAAGCTAACCTGTACGTCTCCCTTTGATGCTCCCTGTTTTATTGCTTGTTCCTGGTGTCAGTGCGGGCGACAATAAACACCCCCCGACCCTTAACACCCACTTGTTTCCCCGTCACAGGCGTAAAGCCTATCCAGATGGCAATCGCCTGGTGGGACTGCCGCTCAAGCTGCCGACCTCGAGTTACAATCTAGCTAGCTTGGGTCCCAGAACAGCAAAGCTGCAGCAGTGCAAGCTTGAGCACTGGCTTGCCCCACGAGGAGCTCCCCAGGGTACTGGGTGGGTTTGGCAGCCTGGGTGGGTTTGGACAGGGGAAGCTCACCCTGCTGCAGCTTCACTGCTCCAGGATTAACGCTAGCTCGGGTTACCATGTGACTGCAGCATGGAAGCTGACCTAACTATGCTAGCTTTCCTCTGGAAAGCTCTGTATCCATTGGCCACTATCCTGGCTCATCCTGAGCCTAGATGGAGCTTTCACGCCCTGCTTTAAATGCACCCACTTCTGGGGTGGAACGTGGCAGTGCCCAGCAATGAGAAGGGGATGATACCTACCCACCTCTGCGTAGCCTGTGAGACCCTTATTCACATGTGGCCAGATTGTCCGCGGGCATGAAACAATATAGCGATATCCGAGTTAATGGAGCTGCACCAATTGACCCCAGCTCATGCTCTGGCCCATTGCTCCACAAGCAGTTGAGGTCCTTGTGTACATGGAGAACACTTACCTGCCTAGGTGTTACTGGGTATAGTTTCTCCCATGGAAGAGTGCGAGGGGAGGGGAGGGGAGAAGTATCATAGCCTGAGCTGTTGAGATCTACCCATGCAAACAGCACTAAGTATTACTAATGGCTTTACCCAGGCAGGCACCTGGCTCTCAAACATGGTTATAACTTGCTTTACCTGTCCTCCCAGACAAGAAGGTGATTTGATCACAGTCCTGGGTACACAGAGGGGTCAGCGTGGCCAAGCAGCCACAGCACTGGACTGGGACTCTGGAAACAAGGGTTCTAGTCCTGGCTATGCCTCTGGCCTGTGGGGTGACCTAGAGCAAGTCACTTCCCCCCTCTACCTCAGTTTCCCCATCTGCAAAATGAGGATAATGGTCCTGATCTCTGCTGATAAAGCATTTTGAGTTATACTGATCAAATGTGCTAGATAAGAGCCAGGGATTACTGTTGTTTTTGTAATGTAGACAGGCCCTAAAAGACTAGTGTAGAGTGAATGTGTGTGGAGGAGATCATTGGGCATGGTACAACGTCTCTCTCTCTCCCTTCACCCAGTCACAGAAAGGAGGAGGGCCAACTCTGATCCCTAGGAGATAAATCTTCAAAGGCCAGGAAAGAAATCCAATATAAACAACTAGGTGACTTTTGTTTCTCTGTTAATAGTTGTTCCCACTTCCCTTCTATTCAGGACAATGCTACAGAACTTGACCTTGGAGTCCTCACCGGAAATATGTCCCCATTCCAGCTTCAAACAGCAGGAAGGTATTTATAATCAGCACTGCTCTTTGATTTCTAGAGCCACTTGTTCTTGGGAAAAGTTGGGCGGGTAGGGCATGGGTAAGGTAGGTAATTAATGTCTTAGGAAGAGGTTTTCTAATACACCCTTTTACCTTCCTTGGGAAGATTGTACCTTGTAGGATCTGCCTTCACTGCAGAGTTGACTCGGGCTCTTTCCTGGGTGTTGCCCCAACCCCCCTTCCATCCACATGCAAAACCCTCTCTCCGGATTTAGCAGTGCTTTGCACCCAGGCTAGCCGGCTCAGCAGGGGGTGCAGGCTAGCGCTTGGGTGCTGCTTTCGCTGGCACTGGTAACCTGCCCACTTTGCAGCAAGGATGCACCTGCGATTTGGTAGTCCTTCATTGCCTTCCCCAAATCCACCTTGTGCCCAGCAGGACAGACTCCCACAACTCCCTGGGAAGAATCATAGAGTGGCTTAGCTCACTGCAATGCTAGGAATCATGGAATGGGCCCCCAGAAGTCCTAGCAACCCATGGGGGAGCACAGCACCAGTGAGGACACATTAACATGGGCAAGGCTTTGCAGTGGCTGCTCGCTCCTGGCATTAGCTTAACCCAGGAGTACTGATCTCCCGGCTAACACTGGAGAGAAGACAGACCCTTAGTGGCCAAGAGTAAGCACTGTTCTGCATAAACTGCTCTCCCCTCTGTGGGAAGGGGGACTGAAGCTACTAAGCAGCTAGTACCTGCAGTCAGGTGAGAAGGACTGAATCTCTCACCCCTGTTATGTGCAGGGTTGTGTTAATACCTGTTTGTAGTTAAATAAGGTGATGGATTCACAGCCCCTAGCATTTCATGGCACGTAGCACAGTGCCAACTGAGGCCACTCAACTTCCTCAGGACTAGAGCTCAGCTCCTTCTGTTCTGAAAGCATGGGCCCCTGCCACTTGAACTAGAGAATTGCTATTAGCAGTATAGAGTCTATGACACGCAGTGGCGCAGTTCTGATCCACTGCAGCCCAGGACAATGGGACACAGCCAAACTAACCACTGTAAAATACCTGAAGTCAAAGGAAGCAGGAGTCAGACTACCCTGTGTGCAGCCCCCACGATCTGTAGTAACCCTTCACCCTGCTGTTCTCAGCAACGGTTCCTCACAACTGCTGTAAACCCAGGTTCCGCATTCCTTTCCTGTATGCATGCCTCTTGCTCCGCTGATAGCAATGGGAGCTCTGCAGGCACTCAGCTGGCCCTGACTTATTTCAGGGAGCTGCTGGGGTTGAACAAAGATTTTCTCCTTTAAAATCTGCCCGGGTGTGGTCTGAGGCCTTTTAAAGAGGCAGGAGGGAACCTCCAAACACTGGCCTTGTAAAGCCCATTGAAGTCAATGGAAATGTTCCCCTTTGATCAGGCTTGTGTATTCACGTTGGGTGGACATGCAGAATAGGTGGGTTGAGGCCTTCTCCTCCCCGCCTCCCGTGAGTAAGGAGGAAGCAGGTCCATTTCATGCTTTACCATGTTTTGGGGACAACCATCTCGTTTCCTCGCTCTTGCCAGCAGATAGCCTGGAGAGCTACCGGAATGTCACTGTGGCGCTCTTCTCCCGCTATTTCCTGTACTGCCCCACCGAATCCCATGCCGCCACCTACAAGTGGCATCACAATGGCAGCTGCATCCAGAACTGCTCCACCCACTGGCCCTGCTTCCACTTCATCGAGAACGTGACCCACGACCGCTACGGGCGCTACACCTGCATCTCAGAGGAGAACGGTTTCTCCCAAACCCTCGTGAGGGAATGGCTGCTGAAGCAACCTAAGCCCTCCCAGACTTTGAGGTGGAAGAGCCAGGCTGCGGCCACCTCCCCTTCCTTCTGGCTGGGCTTCCTGCAGATGATGGCTCTTGCCCTGCTGTTCCAGTGAAGGGGTGGGGTGGTGTCCATGCCCATGGGCCAGGACTCACCATCTGAGCTACTGTTGATACTCTTCACCTTCTTACCAGCACCTCCGAAAGGAAGGGATAGCCCCATCCCAATGGCTGCTCTCTGGACATTCATCTTTGTGCATCTCGGCCCCCTCTTAGCTTCGTAAGTGGCATCCCTTCCACTCCAAGCAGATGGATTCCATCCCCCACATGTCCATACCCATCGATTCCATCATGGCAGCTTCATGCCGGAAGGTGTTTTAGGGACACTGAATGGAGGGGATGAAACCAGCCCAGATCCCTCTCCTGATTCCATGCAGCACAGGAGCTGAGGCTACCAAAGAGAGGGGGCAGGACTGGACTGAAGCTAATGCCACCAAAGAGAGTAACGCAGGGGGCTGATCTGACTGTGTCTAGCGCATAGGCGTCGACTCTGTGGGTGCTCCAGTGCTCCGGGGAAGGATCCTGCCTTGGTGTTTCTCCGCTGAAAGGGAAAGGCAGAGCAATTGTTGTAGACAGCAGCAGCCTGTGGGGCAGGGAGAGCCCAGCTAAGCAGGGACAAGAGTCAGTCCGGCTGCGTCGGAGGAGATGAGTCAGGAGAGGCACATGGATACAGAGGATGAGCTGCATTAATTCATGCAGTTGTCCTGGGTTCCTGCAGACTCTGGGCATGTGGTGAGGATCAAGGCTGGGGGGGATCCGCTGGAACTGCATGCACCCACAGCCAAGCTCCCCCCACCCTCTGCCCCTCCTCCTCCTCCTCCAGGGGAGAGGCAGGGCCGGGGCGGGGATTTGGGGAAGGAGTTGGAGTATTGGCAGGGAGGGGGTGGAGTTGGGGTGGGGACTTTGGGGAAGGGGTGGGCAGGGGTGGGGACTTATGGAAGGGGTGGAGTGGGGGTGAGGCCAAGGGCAGTGTTGGGGTCGAGCACCCACAGGGAAGAGAGGAAGTTGGTGCCTACGGTCTAGCGAGGGAGGGATGTGCACACAAGGGAACCTAGGCTCAGGGGAGAGGAAGGGGGCAAAACAAAGGAAAGTGGAGTCGTGGTTTGGGACAGAAGATGTGTAGGAGGTGACGTTGGCAGGGAATGGAGGGGGCTGTCAGGCAACAGGGGTGGAAGAGATGGAAAGATCATTTTAATAAGTGTTCTGCACTAGAAGAGGAGGGGGCTGCAGATTGGTCAGCAGGGGGTCGGGGAAGGATCCTGCCTTGGTGTTTCTCCGCTGAAAGGGAAAGGCAGAGCAATTGCTGTAGACAGCAGCAGCCTGTGGGGCAGGGAGAGCCCAGCTAAGCAGGGACAAGAGTCAGTCCGGCTGCGCCAGAGGAGATTAGTCAGGAGAGGCACAGGGATACAGAGGATGAGCTGCATTAATTCATGCAGTTGTCCTGGGTTCCTGCAGACTCTGGGCATGTGGTGAGGATCAAGGCTGGGGGGGTTCCGCTGGAACTGCCCATCTTGACGGCTTGTTGGTCTTGTCTAATGTTCTTGTTGCTACGTTTTTGGAAACCATTATCTATTCCACTCCCAGCCTGCCCAGTCAGAGTCCAGGCAAGTCTCCCGGCTTGCCTCCGAGAGATTCCTCTCTAAGCATATGGCTACAGACACCTGACAGTAGATACCTGCCGTTGACCCGTGCCAGCTGACTCCGGCTTGCAGGGCTCGGGCTAAGGGGCTGTTTAATTGTGTAGACCTTGAGATCTTGGGCCGTTCCCCTTCACAGGATCCTAGAGCCCAGGCTCCAGCCCGAGCCCAAATATCTACACCACCATTACCCTAAAGCACTGTGCAACTCCAGGGCCCTGGAGTATTGCTCACCAGAAAAGGAGGGGAGCTCTTGGGAGGGGTCAGAGAGGCCTGGTAGAAATGCATTTCAGTTTTGTGTGTGTGTAAATACCTTTGAGAGTGAGAGCAGATCATTGTGTGTGTGTGTAAATCCAATAGCTGAGCACCTCTGTGTGGGTTTGTTAGTGGATCATCAGGGTATATAAGGAGCTAGTCACCTGGATATTACAATCATTTGTGATCGATCCGAGCGTGAATGGGTGTGCCTGCAATAGAACTGGAGCTAGGCCTGAGTCCTGTGAAGTTCTGGATCTGCACGTCTCTCAAGGTCAGGGGACAGGTCGCTCTGGCGTCTCGTTGAGCCAGCACAGTGACAGGAGCTAGCCACGAAGTAGCAAGCTGTCTCTGAACAGCCCCAGAGTAAGAAATAGCCTCAGATTCGGGGGTTGTTTTGTACCCATCTCTATTCAGAGATTTGGGTCCAAAAATAATACTTAATTTTTTTATACCTTAAATTGACTTCTACTTGCTTAACCTTTTTATATTGAGTTTATACACTAGAGAAAAGGAATCCGGAACCGGCACTAGTGGCCCTGCCTGTAGACAGATTAGACAGCAATACCCACACGTAGCACTCATGAGCCTGAGCTGGCTGTAAGCAGGGCTGTGTGCAAAGGAGAAAGATGTGCAAGAGGTACTCAGATACCATGGGGATGAGTGTGGTGATGGATGGATGAGGAGACTTTCCTGGAAATAATCCAGTTCTGGTGTCAAATTCTGGCTTTGTTGACCTGCACACATGTCCCTCTAAAGTTTCTGGGAGCTGCTGGCATGTATCGGAGGACAAAATGTAGACTTTGATACCCAAGTCTGAGTCTCATCAAAATTGTTCAAAAGAGTCTTGCCTTTTCAGTGATGCTAGAAGGAGTTGATTGTTTCTGACCATTTCAGCTCAACTAGTGAGATTAGGATAAACTGTGAAATAAGCAGAATTCTCCTTAGGCTGTGGGCATCACGTGTTTTGTCAGTTTCCTGGGCATTGGCCACCCAGCCATGGAGCATATTTTGCTGCACTACGTTTTCTGATATTCGCAAACCCTTTCTTGTGTGTTATACACTGGTTCTGTTACAGCCTTTCTCAAAGCACTTTAGTATCATAATGATGTGACTATTAAAAGGCTTATTTATTATCTGTTTCCATGTTAATTTTGCATCGCACTGTTGTAGAGGGGGATTTTTTAAAGTTCCCCTCCCCCCCAAAAAGCCTCTCAATAAAGCTGTGACTTTTCATTAACTAAAGCGTGAGTGTGGTCATGATTAGGGCCCCATCTCTTAGCTGCAGGGGTCCTGCCATGTGGAAAGAGAGCTGCTCTGCGGGAAACAGGCCCCGATTCAGCAAAGCAGTTAGCCGCATGCCTAGATGATTTGCTGACTGTGTGTATTCAGGTGTCCTTGGATTGTAATTCCACTTGTGGGAAGTCTTAATCAACACTCAGACTGAGCAGAAACGGATGGGGAGGGGCATTGGGGAACAGGGTGGAGATGATGGGTATGCTGGGTAAGTCCTAATTCTCAGCAATACACCATTTCTTCCTGTCTGTTGGTTAGTGTGGCTAAGATGACTTTGCTGGGAAGCCAAGGAAATGGAATGCCAGCCTATCTTGTCGTTCAAAACTGCCCTGCCTGAGTCGAAGCACAGCCGCAAAGTCACAGGAACACTAAGGAAGTTGCTGCATCGCACCACGTTGCGAGGGGGGCAGCTAGGGACAAAGTGGGGTTGGGAGCTGGGGGAGATTTTAATCTCACTGCAGATCCACTGCTGGAATTCAGGGGCAGTGATGGAAAAGGGGAAGCGTCCGTTCAAAAGTGAATTCCGAGCTGGGGCAAGGTGCTGGCCCTGCAGAGAGAAGTGTTCTGCTTATCCATACAGCACGTCTCAGATGGGGGGGGACTGTGACCAACTGTCCCTGCCTGGCACTCTCAATCCTCCATGCCTGGGATGGACCCACCTCTCCTGGTACCTGGTGCCGTGTCTTCCCGAGGCAACACATGTGTGTGTGTGGGGGGGGGGGGGGGGGGGAATGCAGGGTCACAGGCTCCCTCTCCAGATTTCTGCCAGGGTTCATACCAGAATGTGACCAGCAGCCGCCTTTTTGCACTGGGTGGGAGGGGAGGGGAGGGGAGGGAAGGGAAGGGACGGGAGCTACTTCCAGCTGCATGGGGGAAGGGATGACCTGGCCCGGGAGTTTGCTAGAGCTCATCTCTCTCCCCCCGTGACTGGAAGCAGCTTGTTCCTTCCTGCCCGCGGCGTCGAAAGGCAGCTAACACCTCCAGGCTGCTGCTAGCCACCAATATAACCCAGCTGCCACCTGTCCTCCAGCTCCAGCATGGGAAAGAAGGGGTGAAGCTTTAAGGATGCACTGTGCACCAGGGGCTTCAGCAAACCAGGCCAGAGAGGTGGCTCAGCAGGGGAGGTTGCCTAGACCAGTGCTTCTCAAGATATCTGATGTGGGGGAAAGGCTTTTGCAGACCGGCAGCTGATGGCTCACGGACCGGCACCAGTCCACAGACCACCACTTTGAGTCGCAGTGGCTTAGAGGACGGAGCAGCTCTGTGCCCTAGGGGGTGGGTGAAGAGGGTGCTAAGCCCCTGCCTGGGGGCTGCTGTGGAGCCTGCAGGTTTGGGGCGCAAATAGGCTGGAAATCGCTTCCCCCCACACACACACACACACCACTTCAGAGCTTAGCTGAGGGGTGGGGAAGCTTCCCCGTGCCAACGCTGTGCGGGGCTTTGGCACATGCAGGGCTTGGCTCCTCCTAGCCAGCACCCCGGGCTGGAGGATTTTGGGCTTTCCCGGGGCACCGGCCCAGCCAGAGGCCGTGAGGGAAGGAAGGAGCCTGCCGGCCAGGCTGCCGGTGAGCTGAGCGCTCTGACCAGGGGCTGGTTCTCCTCACAGCGCTGGGAGCGGGACACACCCCGCTGGGGAGGGACATGGAGGAGATATGAAGATATGCAGGGGGTGACAGGGTAAAGCAGGGAGAGGACAGCGAGGGGGACGCATGTAAAGGGCCGATGGGTGGCCAGCAGAGGTGACACCTAACCGGCTGTCGCCTAGCGCCTGCCCGCGCTCGCCAGCCAGCGCAGCGTGCAGCCAGCGCATCTAGGAACAAAGAACGTCGGCTATAGGTACGGGGTATGTTGGGAGGGGCTCTCTCCTGGGAACGGGATGGGGGGCGGGCCCTGCTGGCCGAGAGCTGGCAAGCAGCGGGGGCTGTGCTGACAGACCAGCAGCGGGAGCGGCCAGCCCCACCTGCTGCAGCTTCACCCCGCCACTACTCTTGCACCCCCACCCCCATCGTCGGCCACTGGACCGCCCCCCCACTCACCACTGGTGGGCGGGTGGCTGGTGAGCAGGGACCCAGCCAGCAGCAAGACCTGCCAGTACTGATAGTGGGGGGGAGACAGAAAATATGGGACAATTTGCCTATTTTTAAGAAGTCGGGACACCTGCAGGAGGGTTTAAATACAGGACTGTCCCTTTAAAAATGGGATGTCTGGTCACCCTATCTAGCCGAGAAAGGTCTAATGTGATCTAATGGCTGGCAGTTGAAGCTAGACAAATACAGGTTAGATATAAGGTGTACGTTTTTAACAGTGAGAGTCAATACCCATTGGGACAGCT